CCCCCCCAAAAAAAAAGAATAAAGTAATAATAATTTTTAAATTAAATAAATAAAATAAACACACACAAAAAAAGTAAACCAAAATGATTTAAAGATACAAATAACACACCTTACAGGCCCCAAACCTAGTAACAATGAAGTGAATTTAAATTAGCTAGAGATAACGGGGTAGATGCAGCATCAAATAGGAAGCATCAGACTTCACTGACTGAAGAACCAACAAAACACGGGTAAATACGGCATTTCGAATGAGATAAGTGTGGCACAGACTCTTCATTAATATGTCAACTGGAGATGTAGGGGGGAAACTGCAAAATTAGATTCCTACTTCATAAAATTTAGTTCCACCTGGAATAATACTTTAAAGTGCAAGAAAATTCTAACAGTGCTCAAACAGGAAGAGTGGGAACCTGCACGTGCTTTGAGTAGAAGCCCCAGAATTTGCTGCCACATTGGATGTGGGAGTAAGGAGTAAGGGGCAGAGCCCCCAGTCTCCATCACAAATTCTTGCAATCTTACAGTGAATAAGGTAGCAAGAATAACCTCAGGAGGATAATACAATAACTACAGGGTCATGCAAGAATTTTTAAATATGTTAAGAACTAGACACAGGGGGACCAGCCGGTGGCAGCGTGGTGGCTGAGGCGCTGGACACTCCCACATGGGTGACCACGGTCTTGGACCTGGTGACTTGCTTCCTCACTGCCCCCACTCCTCTGTGTCTCTCTCTGGTCAAATTAAAATAAATGAATGAATAAAATTAAATAAATAATTCTTTTTAAAAAAGAACTAGACACAGTAAGAACAAAGTTAACGGCAAGCTACCTAGATTCTGCACCACAATTACACCAGTAAACGGAAGGGACGTTTGCAAGCCAACAAGAGGCCCTAACAGGCAGGGAAAACTGCAACTAATTACTTGAAAAGACACTCAACCACACTAACGCAAAGCAACACTGAGAAACGCGTCTTCTGCCACTTCTTAAAGCGGATGCGGGACCGGGGCTGCCGTACCTTCTAGCGCGCGCCGAATCTTCTCCTTCTTTTCCTGGGCGGATCGCTGAGCCTCCTCCCGGGCCTTGCGGTATAAGTACTCGCGGCGCAGACGGGCCTCGCGACGCAACTGAAAAACAGTAGGCCCGGTCACCACTTGCCCCCGAACCCGAAGAACCACAACACCAGCCATCTGCGAGCCCCCATTCCGCAAAGAACTCGACAGTCCCACTTACCATCCTGCGCGCCACTGCCACAAGCGACCAAGAGAATCTGTGAGCACCACTTGTGCCACGCTGCCCTCGCTTCCGCCCTCAACTAAGAAGGTTGCCATAGGCTTCACTGGCGTCTGCTGCTGTCAAAAATGCCCGGTGTTAAGATGGCGAAAGAGAGACGGGGAAGAGTCGCAAGGCGATTGGCTAATTCCGCATTTCGTGCTGGTTAGAGCAACCAATAGACGGAGTCGGGATACAGTCATGTGACACGACTCTCCTTAGTAAAGATGTTTGTCGGCTGCTTTACCTGCCTTATCCCGGTGCAGAATTCCCAGCTTTAAAGACATTCATAATTGGCGGCTCCAAAAAGCCCGTCGACTGTAAGAGTGACACAGTGACTTAACAGGTTGCCAGCCGGTGCCCTCTGGCATTAGGTTTGAAGCCGCTCCTCCCTTAATCAAAATGGTTGCTATACGGCTTCCTTCTCCCGGAGCCACAGAGGCAGTCCGACCTTCAAAACTGCCGCTTCCGGATGCGCCTCGGAACCACCTACAGCCCTCACGGTAGCCGGGGCTGGTTGGAGACCCCCACTAAACGAGCCCCTCCAAGTCATCAGCGAGGACGCCGGCTCCTGAATGAGATGGCTCGATCTTAAACTGTAGAGCTGGGGTCACTGAGGGCGGGTCTCCTGTGCCTATTGGCTGCCCTGCGGCGCGACAGGCGGTGATTGAGCCCCGGCAGGGAGCAGCTCCCGGCCGCGGTCGCTGTCCACCTGAAGCCAAAGGACTATGGCGGCCTCGGACCTCCACGCGGAGCTGGACTCGCGGCTGATGCAGCTGCTCGAGGACCTGGAGGAGCTGGAGGCGAAGCGGGCAACGCTGAACGCCCGGGTGGAGGAGGTGGGCACCTGGGGGACGATGGCGAGGGCGGGGCGCAGGGACATGGACTGGCCTCACCGCTCTCTCCCTTCCAGGGCTGGCTCTCGCTTGCCAAGGCGCGTTACGCCATGGGTGCCAAGTCGGTGGGTCCCCTGCAGTACGCCTCCCGCATAGAGCCTCAGGTTTGCGTCTGTGCCAGGTGAGGGACCTTCGTCGCAGGAGTGGGTGGGTGGGCAGGGATCAGCCCGGGCTGCCCAAGTGCCATCCTCCCTTCTCATCCTTCAGCGAGGGCCAGGACGGACTGCAGCAGTTCAGAGTGGTGAGAGCTAGCGCCCAGATCCCGGAGGAGGTGGGGCCCCGCGAGGCAGGTGAGCATCCCTCCTTCCCCTTCCCAGAGGCAGAGACACAGTTGCAATGCTTTCATTCAGCCCTTTGCGATAGGGCACCGCAGAGCCAAAGATCAGGATGTCTCAGTAGGGCGGTTTTGCCTTGGACTTCTATAGGGAGGATTATGAAGTTATAAGTAGGTTGTTTCAGACCTTCTTATATAGTTGGGATAGTTTTACAATCTGAAATCTTTGCTAAACATAAAATGTTTACCTCTGTGTCTGGATGATTTTAGAAGAACAAACTTAAATCCTAGCTATTCATTGCCCAAAAAGTTGGCAGTTGGAGGGTCCGTGTTTGGCCTTCCAGCATGTTCAAGGAAGATGGGTAAGAGTGTGGCCTCTTCACAGTCAGTGTCAGCTACGGGTCTTATGGGAGACGTGAGAAAGAATAGACAGCTCATCTGAACAAAAGGGGAGGTGGATGCATTGCCTTAAGATGTTTCAGAACACAAGAGGTTGGGGAGTTTTGCCAACCGTCAGTGTTGATCACACTCACAGCTCAGATCAAGCTCAACATTGTCACCAGAGCAGGCAGCAAAGCCAGACTATCTCCTGCCTTTCTTTCCCT